GATGATGAATACTACGATGATATCTTTGCGGATGAGGATCTTGGCGAAGATGATTTCATATCCTCCAACCCCTCGGATCTTACAAAATCTTACAACCGACAGCGTCGACTGAAAGAAGTATCATCAAATCCAAATGCCCCTCTATCAACATATCCCAAAAGCAACCCCCAGAAACCAACGGTGAACACACAAGCCAATGTCGACGATCAGATCTCCTCTCTCGCGCGACATGCGTCAAAGTTACGTCTCGATAACCTCCAGTCAGGCCTGGGGGGGAAGGGAAACAGGGGGACGGACAAAAACGACCGTGCAACATCAGAGCAGGTGCTCGATCCCAGAACTCGTATGATCCTTCTACAGATGATCAACAGGAATGTGGTATCTGAAGTCAACGGGTGTCTTTCTACGGGCAAAGAAGCCAATGTCTACCACGCCGTATCTTATCCAGAAGACGGCAGCGAGCCACTCCAACGGGCCATTAAAGTCTACAAGACTAGCATCTTGGTTTTCAAGGACAGAGACAAGTACGTCACCGGGGAGTTTAGGTTTAGGCAAGGATATAATAAATCCAACAACCGGGCGATGGTGAAAGTATGGGCGGAAAAAGAGATGCGAAATCTCAAACGTCTCTACAACGCAGGAATCCCATGCCCAGAACCCATCTACCTTCGACTTCACGTCTTAGCCATGAGCTTCCTGGGAAACTCTAAGGGGTTTGCAGCCCCGCGATTAAAGGACGTGGAGCTTCCCGGACCAAACCCTGAAGAGCAGTGGCGAGCCCACTACATCGAACTCCTAGGCTACATGCGCACAATGTATCAGGAATGTCGATTAGTGCACGCAGATCTAAGCGAGTACAATATCCTCTACCACAAAAATAAACTCTACATCATCGACGTCAGCCAGAGCGTTGAACATGACCACCCCCGCAGCTTGGAGTTCCTCCGCATGGATATCAAGAACGTCACAGACTTCTTCCGACGAAAAGGAATACACACTCTTTCAGAGAGAGTTGTATATGGATTTATAACAGCTGCCGACGGACCAAAAGCTACCCCCGGATCCAGCGAGATGGCAGATGCGGTGGAGAAATCGTTCGCATCGGAGGAGGAAGGCGAGGAGAAAGGTGATGCCAGTGCGAATAACGACGAAGTCGACGCTGCAGTTTTCCGGCAGCAATATATTCCCCAGACTCTCGAGCAGGTGTACGACGTCGAGCGTGATGTGGAGAAGCTTCGCCAGGGGCAGGGGCAGGACTTGGTATATCGTGAATTATTGGCGCATGAGGGTGATACGACAGCCACTACTAGTCCATCTCATGGTGTTGTTGGTGATGGAGAAGCGGATGAGGAGGGGTCAGATGAATCTGGCAGTGTTTCTCCATCGGATGGAGGCTCGGAAGCGGGTTCTCAGACTGACGAGAAGGATCCATTCGCTAAGAAACCTCCGCGGGGAAAACGGTTTGTGGACAAAGATGCCAAGAGAGATCATAAACGGCTTGTAAAGGAGGAGAAGCGTGAGCAGCGGACGAAGAAAATGCCGAAGCATGTTAAGAAGAAGCTCATCAATGCGTCGAAGAGGAAGTAGTCGTGTTTAGTCACTTTGTTTTATTGGCTAGCTTCTGTTTCTATTTCCTGTTTTACTTTCTAAAATGGCTGGGTAGCTCATCAGGGAATATATGATAAGCGATTAGCATAGCATGAATATGACGCATAAACTATGAAGAAAGAGACTTAAGATCCATTCATTGCCAAAAAAAAAAAAAAAAAAAAGGCTAATGAGTGCTGAAATCTATCTTATCACAATAGAGAACAGTTACTTAACAAGTCAATCGAGTCTACCTGTAGTGAAATTTCTCTAGCATCAGCATTTGTCCACATTCATCATAACCCATCAGAGCTCTCTTTGATCCTCATTCGCTCCCCCACAAAATTCCAAACAATACTTTAGCCATCGCATCCATTCCTCGTCGCATGTCAATTTCTCCCAGGTACCAGACTACAACCACGCCAAAATCAGGATATAATACACAATGGGTTTCCAATGAAAGAAACATAGGTATAATAATCCATGCGAAGACGTATATGGTTATAGTGGGTTCTGACCTCAGTTCTCTTGAGCAGAAAATGACATGAGAAACGAGAGACGAAGAGATTTCAATGGTAATTGCAGCTTCGTGAGAGGGTTGGAACCATTGTCATATATGGGCAGTGGCATTTGTTTGAGCATCATCATCTGGGTTTTTCTAGATTGAGGTTGGATTGCATATTGGCAGTGCGGTGAAGGCGGAAAGAGTTGAAGGGAGTGAAGGTGTAGGAAGCGTCATGATGTTAGAAAGAAGAGAATTGATGCACACGCCCATGAATAAGTAATTTGATAATTACTTAGCGCAAGGAAGGATAAAATACGATCCTGGCTTAATTTGCCAGGGAAAACTCGGCCGCCATAATATCGCAATGTATTATTTATAATACATGCTCGACATCGAATACGCCGGATATCCCAGACCGCTTGTAATATTTTCAATGCTCGCCAAAAAAGCATCAAGTCATGACTGCAAGAGCTTCAGGCCCTTTGCTCGTGTCCTCAATCGAGTCACCGCTTGTTGCACGACATGCTTGGGCAACTGTGGTATGCTGTCGTCGCAGCCACCAGATTCATCATCATTCTCGCCAGCAATAACGGTGGCATCATCCTGCCCGGAAGCAGTAGGCTTATCATCAGCCGTATCACCACCAGCACCTTCAACCCCATTCAGTGCCTCATCCCCCCCAATTCCTTGCTGCTCTCCAGACATGCGCATAGCTTCCGCATTATCCAGTTTCACACCAGGCAACCATGTAAACTCGACTCTAGCAGGACATCTTCCGAGTCCCGGCCATATATCCGACGGCAAATAGTCGCCATACTCCGTCCTAAACATCTCGCGAGCGTGCACGTCGTCTTCGAATAACCTATCGAGTTCCCGTCTAGTTTCTTTGAGCAGCTTGCCAACAGCAGCGCGGACGGCTTTGCGTCGCGTAACCTCCATGATCAGCCTGTCGTAGGCATCCAGGAAACCCGCGTATAGGTTCCGTAGATCAGCCAGCTCGGCCATGCCTGCCTGAATATTCTCGTGCTCCTCCTTCCAGACACGCGCGAATGCATGTGCCTGGGAGATGTAGTCTGTTAACTGCGACGAGGCAACCTTCGATAGACTGTCGAAGATATCTGTTGTTGACATGTAGATGGCGTTGACAGCGTTGCATTGTTCTAGGACTTGTTCAAGAGTTGATTCCATCTCAGCAATGCGGTCTTGAATTTCTAGCACAACGTCTTCGGCCTCAGATGCGTCCTTCGTTAGCACGCTTATCATTTCTTGATATTCCTCCTTTGTTATTGGTTCGGGGGGCGCCAGGAGGTTGCCACTGTCATTCAAGTCTTGGGTTTCGTTTCCAACGCTGACGCCTATGCCGACTCCAGCTGGCAGGTCGCCTGTGATAGAGCGAGCAGCGGCACCACCGCCTTCTGTGTGCTTTACTGCCGTTACACAAAGATCGAAATGCCGCACCAAGGATTCAAGGAGGTCAGCCATTCCCCTGGCATGCACCTCCAAGGAACGCAGGAGTTCCGGAATAAGCAATGGGGATGGAATGCTGAGTCGTGATGCAGAGGGCGATGATGACGATAATGAGGATGAGGAGCCCAGGCGCTTTCTAACCACATCACGATACTTCCCCAACGCCTGGTGGATTGAATGAATGTCAACGTCGAAAGCACGATTCGACCGATCTAGTTCGGCTTGTGCGGCATTGGTATTATCAATCGAAGCCTTTAACAGGGACTGAAGGTCCTCCACGCCGCGATCATCGACAAAATCATAGAGTGTTTTTGGTTCCTCCCCTGGAGGTCTAAACTCAGCCTCTACCGTCGTGTCGCGCAGCATGTCCAACGTTTCAGTGAGCCGTGCATCAACGTTGTCCATTTCTTTCAGTGCAGCTGCAAATTCCGAGCGACCGCGATGGGCCACCCGCTCAACCTCAGTTCTTACGCCATACAACAGCTTGAGCTGCTCGTATAAACCTCGACGGAGAAAACTGGTGCGTGAAGATACAACCACGCTCTCTTCCAGCGCAGCACGGGCTGTGGTGACAATTTCATTGGCTCGCCAGACATGGTGAATAGACGAAAGAGAGCGCTTTGCAGCCACTAGATGTGAAACCAGGACTTCCAAATCGGGCTGCTGTGATGAAATACTAGCTTCCGTGTCCTCCGTTTGGTCAAGCCCCAAATGGGCATGGTATGAAGATTGCGGCACCATGATGCAATATTATGCTGGGAGGAGAGGAAGTACCTTCTGCAATTGCCACACCTTTCCCAGGCTCTGGTGCACTTGACTTCCAACTAAGCCAATTTTTGTGATGCCCCCCCCCCCCTTTTTTTTTTTTTTTTTTTTTTTTTTATGTTGTTTTTATTCTTTTTTATTTTATTGTTTTCATTTATTTTTTGTCACTGTCTGGACTGTTTGGGCCTGTTTGGCATATGCCGGCGGCGATCTCTCCCTATGAATAATTTAGACTGGCCTCTACCTGAACGTGGGAAGGCAGCGATGCCATCATCCTGTGCAGATATGAGCATACATCTCGTATTCCAGGTGGATTCCTGTGCATTTTAATAAGCTTTTTGACCCGGAATCAGGTAGCATAGCATAGAATCAAGGAACAAGAGAGCGAATCACAAATGAGAAAATTTGACTACATCCATATGAAGTCTGTGAGGACAGAGGTGCCAATGCAAAATTCTCCACTTGAGTCCCGCAAAATGATGGGCGCTAGAGAAAGACGGGGATGGTTGGGCTGTGGATAGATGCTCCACAAAATCAACAGTCAATCCCTCCAGGGGTCAGATGACGCGATGGCAGGAGATAATGATAATAATAGTGATAATAATAATAATAATAAAAATAATAATAATAACAATAGCTGTACGCGACATACCGAATGCAGTAAAATATAGCAATAATGATAGATATGGGCTTGCCAGATGCCGGAATAACCAGCTATAGTATATCAACCACCTGGGTATCCACCGCTGGACCAGGGATATGGTATATTTGCGACACTGGACCTCCTGTGCGGATATCCCAACGCGGTGCAGCGAAGTGGGAGCTGGGCAGCCGAGAAAGGACCAGAGCAGCAAAGGGCAGAGGGGCTTCAAATTTAAGATTTGAAAGGGCAGGTGTTGCAATATTGCTGTGAGAGTGTGCTAACGGCCAAGCGCGTGTGATATCACGCAATTCAGTACTCGTTGTGCTGCCCGGGTATTGATACCCAATCCCATATCGTCCGTTGATGTCGAAGGCGGATGGACGATGGGATCAAGTCTCTCTCAACGCTGCAAAGAGAGACGGGATCAGCTGAGATCATGTGACGCCCAAGCTGGGTCGAATTCTCTCTCGCAGCGCTTGGGCCGTAATGGGCTTAGCGCCCTTGGCACTCCGTCTTATCGCGTCAAGTCAGTGGCGACCGGCGACATAATCAGGGGCACATGCCTCGATACCATACCGGATAAATACGCATACACGTGTGTGCACACGCACATAGTTTGTTCATATACGTATATATATATAGAGAGAGAGAGAGAGAGTTCTCAGCTGGACACTGCACCCCGCCTCAACGCCGCCCTCCATCCTCCGTCCTCCACCCTCCATCCTCCCATCCGCCGGTGTGGACACCAGTTCAGCCCACGAGAGATGCACGAGGACAGGCATGGAGAGCAGCGTGTTGGAATCCACAGATACAGAGATCCGGAATAAAGCAATAATACAAAATACGTATGCCCGCTCTTCTTGCTCCCCACTTCGCCAACCACCAGTTCTACGACAATCCCCCATCTCCCAAATATCCCCGTTTCTGAGTCCAGCAGTCGGATCCCTCTGCTGGCTTGGGTCGTTTCCCTTCGGCTACGGTTAACTCTCTCGCTAGATAAATCCAGTCAATACGGCTAAACCCCTTTCTCTGATCCACGGGACATCATTCTTACCGACCCTGCTCTGCTCTACCTTGCATATAACGACGATCCCTTCGCCAACATTGGCCCCTAAACCCCCTCTGATGCAATTCTAAAATATTATTGCAGCAATGGCATCGAATTCTATTATTGATCCGCCACCCACTGTGGCTGTCGACGATGTCAGCTGCTTCCAGGAGCTCAGACAGGATATCAGCAAATCTCCTCGGAAACGAAGAAAAATTTCTGCGTCGGCTCACGAAGCTGATACATCGTATATTTCCGCCACCAAAACCACCTCCTCTTCCTCCTCCTCCTCCTCCTCCTCCCAAATGCTTACTTCGCAACTGCCTGGCTTTGGGCATCCTAGTGACAATAATACAGCCGACAACACATCCATAAGCCAGTCTCCCGGTTCAGCGGGGAAAAGCATTGCGCCGTTTCTTACCAAACATATCCGTGACCACTACGCCCCAATGAATCGATTCGAACCCCAGAAGGTTGAGCGGAACCCGAATTCGAAATACTGCTATCGGCACAGGCCCGATCTCAAATGTCGACGCCAGGCGGATGAATTGGCTATGGCGCAGATGCAGCGGGTAGGTGACTGTTATGTTCTTAACTTTTCACTTTGTGTTTAATGCCTTTCAATAAAAAGCATATGAAAATAAAAATGCACGAAACATTTTTGTTTATTAAAAAAAAATAAAAATAAAAATAAAAATAAATAAAAATAAAAATATGCGAAAGCTCCACCATGCCGTTTTCTGGCTGTATTTCCCCAACGATTCGATGTCTTGACGGATTAACTAATGTATCGAATACAGGAGCTCCACACCCTGTCACAAGATGACCAACAAAGTATTGCGCATTTCTGGGCCTTGTTTTCCGCTGCACCGTCCAAACACCGAAACCTCATGCTTCAGGGGCTGCTTGCCCAATGTTGCTTTCCCCAACTCTCCTTTTTATCTGCCAGTGTCCGCGACTTAATCAGAATCGACTTTCTTTCTGCGCTCCCCACGGAAATATCCTTCAAAATCCTCTCTTACCTGGACACAGCATCATTATGTAAAGCGGCACAGGTCTCTCATCGCTGGAGATATTTGGCTGATGATGACGTCGTTTGGCACAGAATGTGCGAGCAACACATTGACCGCAAGTGTAAGAAGTGCGGCTGGGGTCTTCCTCTCCTTGATCGCAAGAGACTTCGAGATGCGAAACACCAGATCCAGATGCGAGCTACCGGCCGAGGTTTGGAAAAGTTATCATCGAACGCTACTTCGGAGAAAAACCATGACGTAGAAACATCCGGAGACCAACTCTCTGTCATGTCAGATCCTTTGAAGAGATCACAATCCCCGACCCCCTTGCAATCAGGAGACGAGGGATATTTCAAGACTCGATTCCGACCGTGGAAGGATGTGTACAAGGATAGGTTCAAAGTTGGCATCAACTGGAAACACGGTCGCTGCACTACAAAGATATTCAGAGGCCACACCAATGGTGTTATGTGTTTGCAGTTCGAGGATAACATTCTTGCTACGGGCTCATACGATACCACCATCAAGATTTGGGATACAGAAACCGGGCAGGAAATACGCACTCTACGAGGCCATCAGTCCGGAATCAGATGTCTGCAGTTTGACGACACCAAGTTGATCAGTGGCAGTCTCGACAGGACCATCAAAGTTTGGAACTGGCGCACCGGGGAGTGCATCTCGACCTACACCGGTCACCAAGGCGGCGTGATCTCCCTTCACTTCGACTCTACCATCCTCGCCTCCGGCTCAATGGACAGCACAGTTAAGATATGGAACTTTGAAGATAAATCCACCCGCGTACTTCGCGGACACAGGGACTGGGTCAACTCCGTCAAAGTGGACACAGCCTCTCGCACCGTCTTCACCGCATCGGACGATTTAACCGTCCGCCTGTGGGATCTTGATACAGGGAACTACATCCACTCCTACGAAGGCCACGTCGGACAAGTCCAGCAAGTCCTCCCTCTACCCCGCGAATTCGAATTCGAAGAACACGACGCCGAATGCGCAGATGACGGACGCAGCACCTCTTCCACCGCCGCTGACTCGGACTATGAATTCCATCACCATCACGGTTCAGCTCTTGCTGAACGACCCGACCGCTCCCCACCGCTCACTCATGCAGTCTCCCCATCATTCGGCGTCATATTCAAAGATGGTCGGCCCCAACCGCCACGATACATGCTCACGGCCGCACTAGACTCCACCCTTCGTCTCTGGGAGGTGCCCACAGGCCGATGTCTGCGGACATTCTTCGGTCACGTGGAAGGTGTGTGGGCTATTGGTGCTGACACACTTCGACTGGTCTCCGGAGCCCAGGACAATATGGCTAAAGTCTGGGATCCTCGCACGGGCCGGTGCGAAAAAACGTTCACAGGCCATTCTGGCCCTATCACATGCATTGGGTTGAGTGATAGTCGCTTCGCCACGGGCAGTGAGGATTCGGAGGTTCGCTTATATAGCTTTAGGAGCTGAATTGTGTGGGCGGGCCTGGTATTTATTTATTTATTTATTTATTTTTTTATTTACTGATCTTGGCGCGATGTGATTTACTCTGTGTTTTATGTTTGGCGTGGGAATTTCGCGATCTTTTCAATTTTATTTTTTTTTTTTATTTTTTTATTTTTGGTACCGATAGATAGAAGCAGATCTGATGAAGTAGGCCCATAGAAATAGCCGGGTGCTGTGCTGGAAGGCATTAAAGCTGGTGTCAAAAGTCAATGCACGACATGGACGGCTGTGATCGATGTTGGAGCCCAGTATGATTGTGCTTTTCCTTTTGATTCTTCGGTATTCCCTGTATGCCTGCCTTGTATCACACCACGAGGAAATGGAAATTGCCTGCCTGCGTATTACAATGTAGAGAATCTACTTGCTGATTGTTATCATCTCATAGAGAAATATCTACACAGTTATATCTTCAACGTATGTACTTTTTTTTTATGTTAGTCCAGATCAAAAACCAAAAGGGGAGAGCATAATTTCACTATCTAAAAGTTGACCCAAAGAAGTCGTCAAATATACCAAGTTAACAAAAAAAAAGGCCGTACATAAACCAAACACGAAACCCCATTCCTTTTCTTACATCCTTGCATTCCACTCCGCCCTCGCAGCCGCCATCCGTAGCCGTCTCCTATAATGATCGCGGAATTTCATCCGAGTCAAAGTGCCATACCCCACAGCGAATACAAAGCTCCCCGCCCAAATACATGTAACTACCAGGCCAGTGGGGTAAATGCCTAGCGTAGTCCCTGGCAAAACAAACGCCGTCGCTGCGGCCACGATGGCAGGGAGTTGGGCGTTGGCATCAGGTATAGTGATGTTGACAGGGGAGTTGTCTGCGTTTCTGAAGAATCCAGCGACGTAAGATAGAGTGTCGGAGGACAAAGTGGTCATGACGAGTTCTTCGGTTTTGGGGTTGACGGCGCCAATGGTTATGTTGGGGATTAGAAGAACGCGGATATGGTCTCTATAACTTGGGTTAGAAAGAAAAAGAAAAACATCTAGTCTTGTGAACGTGAACTATTTCAGAGTTAAAACATACTGCGTCAGTTTGTCGAGTTGCAGGACGGTCGATATTTGTCCAAAATGTCGGAATTCCTGCAACAATGCCATCTCCGGTTGGCCTTCTGTGGCATCTCCAGCGAGTCGACGGGGGTCCGAGATTGTGGCTTGAGGTATATTCACTTGCAGAGTATACTCAGAAGGCGGGATTCCCTCAAAATCGTCGACACCATCAGACACTTTGTAAAGTCTAATATCAGCCTCGAATGCACCGGTTGAGCCGTCGAAAACGGGTATATTGAAGCAAGCCGCCATGCCTGATGGGTTCACAACACTCTCCAATTCATCAAGAGCATCGAGACAGGCCCTTGTAGTGGTGACGTTGAACTGTTGTTCATCAAAGGAGGACGGTGGCGCCGATTCTGCAGTCTCTGCTGCCGGGGCTTGCCCTGTTGCAGACTGATCCGGGACATCCTCTTGCGGTAGTGGTGCTCTCCTTTCCAGGCCATATCCTGCCTCAATCATGTCGAAGGCATCACGACGGACATTTTCATCAAGGTTCGTGGATTGATGAAAAACCGGCGGTTCTAGCATATGCTTTGCGGTCGAAGAATGGATGGAGGCCCAAAACACAAAGACATATAGAGACAACGATGCTATTCGCATCATGAGTGTTTATTACATATATAAAAGAAATGGAGGGGACATGTATTAAACAAAAATAGAAAACAACTGATTGGTAAATGCTGTGCAAGGCGATATATATCACAGCAGCAGAAAAACAAAGAATATGGGGAAAAGACGCTGGCCAGCAACGTCAAACGATAGTAGCAACAACTGTTATCTGTGAGAAGGATTAGAGAATCGAGTCCTCTGCCTCAAGGAAAATTGGGTTATTAGCACTTCTCACAGCAGAGAATAGGAATGCTAGCTCGTCATGCAGAAATCGTAAACACAGACTACCACTGGTATTCCCGACATAAAGCACAAGCGCTCCATCTTGAGTTTGGTCTCAACACAGAGCCCCCCCCCAAAATCCGCAAGGGCTGCTCAACAACTTTTTAATAAAGATGGGCCCCCAAATGCAGCATAACAGAGAAAGTTGGAAGAAGGCTTGTTACACGATCGAGCAATGACAGTGCAAAGAGACCGATAGAGCATGGCATGCAACATACGATGTCGCACAGTGCTTCTCTTAAAAATAGCCCAAGGGACGCGTAGCAGCGCCACCGACCAGCCCGTTGAATCCTGTCCATACGAGACGTGCTTCAGAGCCCAGGGACAGGAGATCCGTTTGGGAGTCTTGGCCCTTGGGCAACTTGTCAACGGCTTTACCGACAGATCTCGATCTCGACATAACGAGTGGCCAATCACACGGCATATACAACTCAAGAGCCGATCTCGAAAAAGGACCTTGGCTCAAGCAGCCCCCAGACCAATCGTCGGGCCGGGTGTTGCGCTGCTGTCTGCTAGAGGAAGGCTGAGAGTCTGAGAACCTGCAAGGCGACAGGTTGATAATGGATCAGACAGTTGATGTTACAGGGTTGGAACTTTGGCCCCGAGAATATGGGACGACCAAAAAGCCACAACTATAAAAGCAGGATCATCATGCTCATTGCGGCGGTAAGAGGGTATATTTCGCTGCGTATGGCTGGAGGCTGTTAACCGAAAGCAGTGTCAATCACTATTATTGGATAAATAAATGTAAGTTAGATGATTATAGAAGAATTTTGTATAGCTGCCACGCTCTTTTATTTCGGATTCCCCATTTCCATTTCCATTTCCACTTCCACCTACCAATCGAGAGGGTCCTCTTAATCAACAGGTTGTCACGACACAGGATGATGCATAACTACCTTTTAGTTGGTTATTTGTATTAACGCCAGGACTACACATCCGCCAGCTTCAAGTGCTGTTTCGCAGACAAGATCCAATGTTTTCACATGTGTACCACCTTTTCAGCTCGCCATTAACACCTGACTGTATAATTCTATGATAACTGATGGATAAAGTCGGTGAAGGATAATGAAGCGTGGCGGACCATATCAAACCCAAGTGTCAGCAGCCCGTACGTCCACTCTGCTGCATCCGCGGACCCGCGTGGTTCTAAGAATGGATGCTTTTGGAAATTGTCCTTGTTCAGATATCGAATTCTCTCGGAACTTGTGAAATATGTAATTCGATCAGCCAAGGAAAACGAGGCGAACATTGCAGAAGAACTATCGAACACCGGATGTTTGACCCTGGTTCATGCGTGTACAGGGTCTATCTATCCCCTGTCCGCATGTTCTTCCAGCCGAGTTCCTCTCACACTTCCACTTTCTATACCACACCGATGTCCTCGTCTATTGCTTGCTAAGATTCGTGAGCGTGCCTCTTGTGATGGATAGTTATTCAAGTATTCGGCCCCCCCCCCCTGAAATCATAGAAATGGAGGATCAGATGGTGCGCTTTCCATCTGTCCGTAACTAATTCCTCACATTTGCACTACGAACTTGAAAGATTTGTGTCCGCCCAAACAAGAATTGTAACATTGCGTTTGATATGTCACCCAGTGCCCTGAAGGATTGAATATGTCTGGTGGTTGTCAGTCTGCAACTTGTTAGCTCCACTTCGTGAGACGTTCGACAGCAACGACTACTTCAGCAATCTCATGGGTTTCCAGATTCAAATGTATCCCTTCTGGGAGAACGTCGCTCGTTGACCATAGATTGGAAGTGAGAGAAAAGCGTCACTCCATCCGGGGAGTACAAATCGAGTATCTATGCATCACATAAACAATAGTTTAGTAACAGGTCACTTACGGAAGCATTTCTGTCGGAGACGAGAATACCCGCCTGCGTCAACGGAAGTCGACCCAAATGAGACCCTCGTGAAAGGATTAGCAACCAGTAACTAACCCAGTGCAGCCCTCAACTATTACAACGATGGAGAGTGAGATTCGAGAAGAAATCAGTCTAGTCTCACATTGGTTCATGGTAAGTAGTTATATATAAATAACTAATCTGTGGACACAACTTTGGGCGGGAATTGCTGGAACCCGTTCACAAGGTATTCGTTAAATGCTCACGAGGCGAGCCCCTATTTCAACAGTTTCCACAATTGAAATTCTTTGAAGCTCTAACCTGACAACGATACTCCGCATTCCCCAACCCTTTGTCAGCTGTAATCATGCCCAACTACTAACAGGTCAATCTAAGGACACTGTCAGGCGGAAGCTTGGCTGAGGTGACTATAGTGCGTACATCGGTTCAACAACTGTTCTGAAAGGTTGTGGCTTGAAACGGACTCTTGCTATGACTGTCGTCTTCAGTTGTATATCCGCCTTTTGATCCGAATTCCTTTGACTAATTCAGCAGCTCGTATCACTCAGGAGATATATTATTTGATACATTTGGATTAAATAACAATCATCTCCACGGTAAGATTGGGTATTCTCAATAGCACATGCTGCTCGTCATGGCATTTTACTAATGAACTGTCAGCACGGTTGAAAGTACTACGTATGCCCTGCCACAGATTTGTCCCAGAGGACCGCGGACAAGTGCTGAATGACCTGGAGGGATTTCAACTCAGTAATATCAAGATCATCAAGATGAGACTTGTTTATGCGCCATGCTTTTTCTCTTACATCTGAAGCTTATATGCACCATCTTAAGAGGTTGAAGACCTATGCATGCTGCTACCGACAATAGAGATTGCCACTGAAGGGCCCCCATATGGCCTTCGAAAATTCGGTCACGGTTTCTGAGAGATACATGAGTTCCTGGCATATACCAGAGAAGGATACAGTGTTGAAGAATAATCGCCAACAGCATCTTCAGTGGATGAGAGAGAGACTAGTCCTGGTTAACATGGGCTTGCTGATGTCTCCCTGCCCATGCGAACTATCCGGACATGGCTTGGGAGGACACTGACTGGCTCCCTTGCGCTCGATATGCCCTTATGTCTATCACTGGCGGTAAGGCGTTTCAAATGACAAGACACCACCAGAAAGAAGCGCCTTCCCCAGCAAGGGACTTCGCCGGTGCTGCTCCTTCTCAGCTAGATTACCAGGCCTCAATATAAATAAACACGCCTCTCGCCCGTTCTTTTTCTCCCTTTCCCTTTTTCTTTTCTCTTCTTCTCTTCTCCACCGCAATATGTTTGTATATTAAAATATCAGCTTCGGTCAGTCACTCATTTAAATACACGCTCAATTCACTCGTTTTGATATTGTACGATCTAACCCCCCTTGTTTTCCCAACTCGTTTTTTAGTCGACATCATTACATTCCTTTTCTGTTGTATATTTGTTTTCTGGGCCTGATTTTTATATCGTTTTTCAACTTGCCATCCGTTCCCCTGTTCTTGTAATACATCTTGCATTTTGCAATCGAGATGGTTCTTTATTTAAGCTCGTTGTCTCGTTAATTCCAGGGAGAATCCTACACAGAAACGTCAAACTGTAAGTACCAATGACGTTTGGCCCATTAAACATAACCCGCGCTTACCTTCTCGCAAGTCAACCCAAATAAGTTTTACACGATTTTGCTATAATCATGCCTACTCTGGCTCATACCCTCCGGGGCGTCTTTTGTGGCTGCTATGCCTGCTCTCCCCGCAGGCGACACAATCGCCGCTCTAAGCCAGGAAATGAGTGTCACGAACTCGAGGATGAAGAAGGACATCATGATCAAGGACATCATGGCCAAGGGCCTCCATCCCATGAATCCCAAGCCCAAGAAAATTTTGCTGAACATCACGAGGTTCACGAACGACCAGTCCAGGAAAAACGTATTAAAAAACGCCCAGGTAAAGGAATCTTTGGCAAGGGGATCATAGGCCAAGGGCGCCACTTTCAAGACGCCAAAAAGAAGAGAGTGCGTAGCCACCAAACGTCTATCAAAGAACGTGCAAGAGTTGCACTCGCTTTGAAACGTGAGAAGGAGACGGATGAAGACCAGGCTATCCCACAACAGACGACTCCTGCAGGTGGCCTCCAACAACCTCGAAAATCCACAGATGTGGCTGCCACAGGTATGAGTGATGCAGTCGTACAGACAGATGTGTCCGCCAACACACAACCGACAGCTACTTCTGCAGCTGTGATTCCCGGCTCAATGGCCGGCACGGCATCCACTGCGGTGATCACAGACGAGTTCGGGAGACCAAAACAGACTGGGGGAGGTAACACCGTCGTTAGAAATGACGATATCCGTTCGCAAACAGCAGGATCGGACAACGCAAATTAGAGGAATGCTTGGTACGTCATCTGCCCCCCTTTCCAATTCCCTAACTCTACCCCTCAAATCACCGATCGATCTGTATAATGTTTTGAACTATGATTGAACGGTTTGAAGATATACTTAAAAAACCTGCAATCGCAATTCCATTAAAACATTTCCAGTGCCCTGAGCTAAACCAATGCCTGGCGTTATTCAACTTATTTATCATTTGGCAGACTGACATGATGTATCGCAGACTGGAGCAATAATCAGAGCCGGATAAACAGGGAAGACTCAAGACCTGTAAAATCAATAGTTCTGAGGAGCACTCAGCCGATGTTAATACCCAGGTGGAAGCAGGAACGGAGGAGATCAATAACTTTAATTCAAGGAGTGGAACACTAAGTGTCAACGGAAATGGAAGAAGGGATAGATTCTGGCTGCCAGTTTGACGATTGAGAGTTCCGTTATCTTAATACCGTCTCGAATGTTTAGAGCTGGTGCGATTACGGTGCTTTTGTTCCCTAATATATGCGTCAAATTGCAAGGTCGAGAAGTAATATGGGGAAGGCGGTTGGCGAAGTATTTGAGAAATTTTGCCATTTCCCCCTTGTTTCCACTGTTTTGTTGTGCTCCCTTTTTGTATGTTTTTGATTGGTCTTTAGGGTTTGGCAAAGTACTGTACTTTTCATTAATGTTTTCCAGGGGTTTAGTTTCTATACGGGAAGATTAGAATTAGCTAATGTAATTCGAAGGCGTCGCTGCCCAAATTGTGAATGATTTGCTGGCCTTAGCGTTATTTTGCGTTGAAAATATAAATGTATCAGATGGGCCTCATGTCACTCCTATTCCATGTACAGAGCTACGTGAAGGGTTGCCATGGGACTTTCGCAATCTGAAAGATGTAATAACTCCAGCCAATGGAGAGAGATGCGGACAAAGACACATCATTTCCCATGTAGTTTATATTCGTGATATCCATATTGTATATACAATCCTTTCATCCACAGTACCAAAGAGAAATCCCATGAGTGAGCGGTTCTCTTTCCGAGTTAAAATCAAAATTCCGAAGCCATGGGGTCCCAAAGTGCACTCGCACACACTCCTTGTGATCACCATACGCACCATCAGAGAATATACTTAAACAGAGGCGACCGATTGCCCATCGTCTGCAGTTGCTCATCAGTATATTTCGCATGCATTTCTTCCCCTGATAATTTCGCCCTGCGTTTGTTCGTCACGGTAAAGAGCTATACTCTAGTGTCAAGGCGGCAACAGCAATACCACCACAAGCGAATCCAAACCATGCACCAAAATGCCGGTTGTGTATGTTGGCTTTTCCTTCTCAAGGAAGATGAACGATCCCGGGAATTCCTCCGCAGTTTCCCAAGGAAATCATGAATGCGATGCCAATGGAGCGTTTCCTTCGTTTCCTTTCGCCAGCAAGATTGTTGAGTGTCCACGCATTTGTGGCCGGGAGAATGGGGTAGAAACCAATACAGGCCAGGACCACGGCGAAGAAGCAGAGACCGATGTGATCCTCGATTTCAGCTGACTTTGGCGGAGAGGATGGAGGAGGCGACGATAACGCACAGCTGCCCAGAAACAATAGGTGGCATGCGCCAGCGGAACTTGTCAGCGAAAATGTGAGAGTCATGACAATACCCCAGCCTAGTGTGAGTATTACAATATATATTGATGGTCGCGGGAATTTGGTTGCTGGGAACCTCTGTACGAATGCTCAGGCGTTAGGGATTCACGACGGTATTACTTGAATATATAAGTGAATACGTTCTAAAAAGAACGTATGGGACGAAAAATATGGCAAGGGCAATGTTTTACTGGGTCCTGGACATGTCCAGGTCGTCCATAAGGCCCTCGATTTTGGGCATTACCTTCATCAATTGATTAATTTGAGTTTTCAATCAAGTCTAACGAGCAGAGGGAACTCTCCAATATTTGCTCAGTCAATATATGCGCAAAGGTTCATCAACGCTGGAGGTAGTCGCCAGTCAACCTGTGGAAATCACAAGTAAGCGTGTAGCCTTGCAAGGGGAGGGATAAATTGCTGGTAATACCTTGCGGACACATTTTTTTAGTCTGCTCTTCAGTAAAACCAGCGAGAAATGATGCATCTTCAGGGCTCAAACCAGCCTTCACGTAGATCATCTCAACAGCCTTGTTCCTGTTTCGGTTTCGCGAGCTTTTCAAGTGGCCGGTTCTCCAACTCCTCCAACTCTTCCCTAGGATAGCTCCCATGGTGCTGACTGAGAGAGCAGATGATGCAAGCACGGAGCAAAAGTGAATTGATATGTTTGCAAAAGAACCTGCTTCCCGTCAATCCGGGGAGATTATGATCTGGAATACATGAGTGGCATTCTTGGCAAATATATCAATATTTTGAGAGATGGCAGAGACATCTGTGTTTGCGCAGGGCCCTTGCAAGCGAAACAGCAAGATTTCGTTCCAGGCATCATCCTGTCAAATAAAACAGGCGGACTGGGTCCCACTTTCAGATTAGAAGAGACCCAACACAGGATGAGAAGAAACTTTCTCGGGATACATGGTACAATAAAATAAACGCGGGGTTGTCAAGCCGCTCGAGAATGGGGTGATGAGCTGATAGCCAGTTTCGAGATAGCCAAGCAGGACATACTGATCAAACTTGCACATATTCGCAATTTGTGCTCGATAATTCTCTTTGGAGCAATTTATGAAATTAATTGCCCACACTTTTTGCTTTTAGAAACGGTGCTACATCGTTGGAGATGTCCTGGAGATGTCCATATGGCAAAAGAAGAACTGCAGGGTAAAATACCCAGAAAATCAAATAAATCCAAGGAGTTTCACGAACGAGAGGGGTGGGAGAACCCCACAAACTCCGGAATCCAGAGGAACAAGAGATGCCCTGCCCCAAGGCTCCAGTTTGGTCTCTGACTCTCGGGTTGGTAGCAAGGAACCTTTTTAGGTAACTAGGGATCTGCATCACGAATTCGCGGACGGAGCCCGAGAAGTTGGGGCACGGGAACTCCATCCTATCATAGGATTTGGAATCGGGAGAAGAATTCAGACAATGCCGGAGGTTAAATAGGGGGGAAGCGTAGGCTAAGTATTTTTCAAAGTTATTGCAGCCGAACAGACAAGCACCGTCCCAAAGACGGACCAGCTTAGCAGGTTTCTTTTGAGGACAATTTCCCCACAGGGTAACAATGAGAGTTGTCGAAGTACACATAATGGAGAAGAAGTAGAGGGTAGTTTTCTGGAGAATTGGCCCGTCCAACAGAGATATTTCCAGAAGAACGGATGTCAGCAACAAACAAATGCTGGGGAGTGAATCGGATAACTACTCTTTTCTTCATAGTGCCATTGGTATCGCCCATCTAAACGAGTGTTTTCAGGGACCAAATTATTATGCCAGCTAACATGCCGTCGTGTTCGGGGAAGTATTCGATAATGTATGTTCCCCTCCGTGTGCGAGCCAGATACGGGACGTTGATGCACCCCTAAGAGACTCTGGAGATTGGAAATCCTGTTGCGCCGAGCCAAGCCCGCTGACACTTCACTATAATACGGTGGGTTCCAGTTCCTGTACCCTTGCATCCCAACGGTCCAACATCATCGCATCATTTTCACTCACAACATTCGGGGAAAACAGAATCTCTCCAGATTTCTTCCCAGGAATGTTGGCATTTGTCGACCAGGTTTTTTCGCCAAGCATGTCGGTGAGACAGCAGGCTTTCCAGCCTCAAGAGTGAGACTGTGGTCTCGCCCAAGTGGTGGTGGTGGTGGTGGTGCTGCTGCTGCTGCTGCTGCTGCTGTCTGTGGTACGCGGCATGAAAGTCATCCAAATTCCCAGCTAAGTAACCAATCCTCCTAAACATCATCCAGACTGAAATGTCAACATGTCTTGGATTTACGAGACAGGGCACCAAGGGCGTAGCTTTAGGGAGGAGTCGTTGAATAAAAAATCCCATATGCTGACGGCCAAATGATGCACGTAGGCTCATCTTGAGGCTCATTCAGGAAGTTCGAGTCTGATACAAAACAATAAGTAATAACATTTTCCATCATCCTCACGGTCAATATGATAGTAACTCCTCGACTTTGAACACATTCTTCATATACGAGGTATACATGCAGAGTGTTTATATGCCAAAGGCTATATGTCCCTTAGATTTATCCCCAAACATTGCTGGTATCTGATAAGTTGAACGGGATGATCCTTGGCCAGCCTGATGTCAAATTGGACAGGAGTTTTGTTCTCGGGAACATTTTAAAGAGCTGCTCTTAGCGACATTGTGCTTAGTTACTCCGAAAATATTAACCGTTTCCCCTTGTCGCCAATCTCGACTGTGCCACAGGATAGCCGCTCTGCCACTGGGGTTATTTTATTGTTGCCATGGATACGGGAGAAATATTTCGATGAATTTGAAATAATCGTGCGAATAACACGGGCCCTACGTCCTCAGCTCGTGGGACCAGTTTCGTGCTGTACGTGCAACCAGCCTGGTTACCTGTTGCGCTTCCTTGTCCGATTTTTGTGGAGGTCCAAAACAGTCCTGGTCGGTTGCCCTGACTCCCGTTCCACCCCCGCAACACTTGGAGCTTGAAATGCATTTTCGGATTTGTCTGCTCGACGAATTCCTTCTACCGATTCAGATCATTTTCACCCAGCTCTTGTTTCATGGCGGTCGAACTCGAACTTTGTGTCTAACTTTCCATGCGATCTTGCCTCGTACATGTCCCACTCTACTCCTTTCAGTCGAGTGGCATTGAGTTGTCTATTGAGGGGCAGCAGTTAACGAAAGGACCTCCGTTATGTCATCTTTCCAGACGGTGTTTTGATGTTGATGTTCAATCGAACCATTCCATGGGCTAGAACACTATCCCATAATGCGGAATGCAATCCAGTTTGAAGGAATTTCAAATTTCCTTGTCCTTGGAAATTTCAAGTTACAGTACTTTTACCCCATCCTGTCTCCTCTATGAGACACAAGCATGGGTGGTATCGATTCCATCCTCTTTTGGCTCATGCTATTTCTTGACATCTGCATGGCCATGCCTTTGACGAGCGACCCCATCACAGTGTGTTGTCGTCCTTCGTATAGCTACCGAACAAAAGAAGTCTCACATGTCCTGATATGGATTTCTGATCGCTCCAATGTCTCAACGATTTCTCCCTCTTTGTGTGATTCTACTCCTCGTGTCTTTTTCCCCAGCTGGGAATTTTGACTGTTAATCACTTTCAATTCTAACGGGGGCTGATATTCTTCTTTTTTCTCATTACCTTTTCTGAACCACCTATTCGACCTCGTAGATTGCGTACATTCTGTGCAACTCAATCACTACTTTTCTCATTGGTTCTATCATGAGAATTTCCCTCCATGTTTACTTGGCCCAGTCATTTCTTCTGCTTATTTATTTTGTACAGTTCAATCCCGTGTGATAATATAAAAGTTCATTATGGACGCCATTTCCTCTTAGTTATTTCTTTTTAATCTCCATTTATTATCTGTTTTAACCTCTCTGATGTGCTTCTCATGGATTAAATCTTACACATTTTGCCCCTTGGTATCCCAGGAATTATTTGCGTATTAGAAAATTTCCTTTATTTATCCACGTCGTTTTTCATCTAGATCTTTTCTTCCTCGCTTGCCGTTATTATTACACCAAGATATGATTCCGGAAAGGAACAGATTGTCATCCTTGTCAATAATCATATCCTTCTTTTGGATACTGTTTGCTTCGACATTATGTGTTGCTGAATCAGACCCTTATGATCCCATCCCCGAGAAAGGCCCGCCTGGATGGAAGCGAGATAAAAATTGCAAACACAGCCCATCAAAGCGATCCTGTTGGGGTAAGGGCTTCGATATCAGCACAAATTTCGGTGTCAAGTGGCCAGACACTGGAAAAGTCGTGGAGGTTCAACGCCCCATCAATTGTCAAATGCAGCATCGATTTATGGCTTACCCTTGGTGTCATTAGTATCATCTTGATATAAGCAACACGACGATGGCCCCTGATGGTTTCGAAAGGCTAGTCTTGGCGGTCAATGGACAATTTCCTGGTCCAATTATTCGGGCGAGTATGTTCAACATTATCTGCTGGTAACAAGCTATATCTCTAACTATCCGCAGACTGGGGGGACACTCTTCGAATTCATGTGAAAAATAGCCTACAAAATAATGGGTGGGTAGTAATGCCTATTTAACAACTTTTTGTTGACCTGACTGACATCAACTTTTACTTATCGTTGCCTGCTTCGTGCAGAACAAGCATACATTGGCACGGAATTCGGCAGAAGTATACAAGTCATCAAGATGGCACAAACGGGGTCACAGAATGTATGTACTGCCTATGACCACCGTTTAAGTTCCACCGCAGGCTAACTCCCGATGCATAGGCCCTATCGCTCCCGGGGCTACAAAAACATACGAATTTAAATGTACCCAGTACGGAACATCGTGGTATCATAGCCATCATACTGTACAGTGAGTTTCCTGCCTCCTAAATTCAACTTGTCGAATAGCATTGTTTTAAATCGGGTTGTGTAGGTACGGGGATGGTGTTTTGGGTCCAATCATAATTGACGGTCCAGCAACTGCCAATTACGATATCGACCTTGGAACAATGCCGATTCAAGATTGGTATTACCGAACGGCGTGGCAGAACGCACTCATTGGCATTCCTCCCATTGCTGAAAATGGCCTTTTAAATGGGACAATGGTGAATGCAAAAGGCGGAGGTAGTTACCACCAGAACACAATAAAGAAGGGGAAGTCGTACCGGTTACGATTGATAAATACGTCGGTGGACAACTACTTCAAAGTCCATCTGGACAATCACACTTTCACGGTGATTTCAAGCGACTTTGTTCCGATCGTCCCATACCAGGCGGACTGGTTGTTTATTGGAATTGGTATGTTCACATAGATCCACTCAATAATTCCTCACCTATCAATCCCATCCCTCTAACGAGACAACAGGCCAGCGCTACGATGTGATTATTCACGCTGATCAAGACATCGGCAATTACTGGTTTAGAGCCGAAGTTCAACAGGGATGTGGCCTAAACGCAATGAATGGCAGGATTAGAAGTATCTTTAGATACGAAGGTGCTGACGAGAAAGCGCTGCCCACATCAATCGCCAGCAATTACACGCAAAGCTGTACTGACGAGCAAGGGCTTGTTCCATTCGTTCCGATCAACGTCCCCTCTGCCCATTTCATCCAACACGTTAAAGATCTCAATGTGACCTTTGAGAGCGAATATAGTTCACCCGGGAATAATTTCGTCCACTGGAGAATAAATGGAATCCCGATTGAAACAGACTGGGAGTATCCTACACTTCAATACGTCCTTGACGGCAATACTAGCTACCCAAGGAAATTGAACCTTATTGAGCTACCGGAACATAATGTAGTATGTTTACCCCGCTTCATCCCCACATCCCCACATCCCCCGTTTTATCTTTCTTTTCCTTTCTAGTGTTAGTAAACTACTCTATCAGTTTATAGCTAACGGCTTGATATATAGTGGACATACTGGATTATCCAGGCTGCTTTCGGGAGCATCGTCAACGTCCCACACCCCATCCATTTGCACGGGCACGACTTCTCTATTCTCGGCACTGGAGTTGGGGACTTTCCAGGACCTAACGTACTCAATTTCACCAATCCACCACGTCGGGATGTCGCCATGTTACCTGACCTCGGGTGGCTAGCTATTGCATTTCCAACAGATAACCCTGGTGCATGGTTGGCGCATTGTCATATTGTAAGCGGGGTCCTTTCTTTTTTCAGTTAATCTGCGTTTTGTCCTGCTCTTTGCACGAATTTTATCTTTACTAACGAAATTCCCGTAGGCCTGGCATGCCCACGAGGGTCTCGCCGTTCAATTCCTTGAACGCGGTTCAAATATTTTATCCGCGCTTAACATCCGTCCCGAGTGGGAAACTACCTGCCGACAATGGAGGGATTACATCTCAAGCAGGGCGTTGTTTCAGCAAGACCGTTCCGGAGTTTAGAGCCGCCCCGGGGGGGGAAGATAAAACAGAAAACATCATCACTGAAGGCTATCTTCAATAATATATAATATTTTTTTTTGTTCTTTTCTCTTGTTATAATATTACCTGCTGGCGCTAAATGGACTAGGGAGTGCCCATTTATGAAAAGGCAAGGTTTAACAGATAGAGGGTGTTTTCCCACGCCCCTTGTTCGCTGTGGATTCGGTGGTCTGTCCATGTTTATTGGATTCGGTATTAATAATAAAAATGACATTATTAGGTACTCTGAGTGTATTGTTTTCGACACGGACTATTTCCAATTAATCTGCGTTGTGTGATTACCTGTTCAGAGCAAAACTCCGCCATATATCATCCTCTCACAGTTGCGGGCATTAATTCAATCTTCGCGATGAACTAACTGCAAGAATGTTGCTATGCAATGAGCGCAGAGACGCTCACTCCAACAACCGAGGATGAGTTTTCTTCATCAAAATGACACAAACGGTCCTGCGTGATTAGTTACCCATAGCTATCTAGTCCACTCGATGAATGTCCCATATTCTCAGGCTAATTTGGAACTGAGGGTAACTGAACCAGGGGTCTGTCTCAATCTCCATTTGGTCCAAGTGATCTGATCTTCCACGACGGAGTGCACAGTTTATTAATATTTAAACCCATCTGGATGGAGCTTCTCCTTGGCTTCAGTCCCAAGTACGGAGTAGTCCAGCCCAGTTCCCTCAGGCTGGATGGGAGTATGAGGGAACCTCACCACAAATCGGTCCTAAGGTCCGTTTAATCATCTCGGGTCCAACTGGCCACACCGGAATTCCATGCAGTCAACAGAGTTCTTTTAGTTATGTGTCTGCCGTGGATATTGCTCTGCAGCTCATTGAAGTTTGGGAATCCACCATCTTCATGCATCACACATAGGGCTATAAGGGAAAGCCGCATCTGCCGCTATCCGTGAAGCATGGAGTTTCGCAGCTCCAAAGGTCCAGAGCCAGCCGACGCGTCGGGTATCGATACTTTCACGATGTGCCTATGATATCATACATGACGCCCACTGAACTGGATTCTTTGTTTCATTTTATGAATCTCGTTTCCATGATATCCACATTGTCCATTAGAAAGGTTGGACAGGCACACGAAGCGCTTGCCGAGAACGAGTGACACGAAATATTCTGTTTCACAGAAGACAATAACCAGAGGGTTCACCAACAGTGTATACAAGCTACCCAGGTACATACCCAAGTAACTATATAACTACTCCCCAGAGGAATCAATGGGAGGTGTTGATAGTTGACTAGTTATCCACCCAATTTCAGGCTTCAAGATTATCTCTTGGAAATCCCCGTCTGCCGTTTGCCCTTCACTCCCCTGCCCCTTTTTCCAGCTCGGGCAAACTTCAAACCTTGGATGGATTGGAGTCTTGGAATCCTCCAAACCACTCGACCGGTGAGATTATTATTCCGCCGCTCTGCCCTTCATGGATTAGTTAGGTAGTAGGTTCGGCCTTGTCGAGACGTTTCGGCCGTGCTAATAATGTGCCGTGATCGTCTGTATAGTCCAGAATCCATAGGGCCCAGCCACAGGGCTTGTATCCGGAGTCGACTGTCGCCAGCTCCCCGAGTTGTAAACCCAAATAACGGCATTGCAACTAAGCTGGCAGCCTAGGTGGATATAAACCCGTTGCATTCCCATTGGAAATGATATTCGCGCGCATCTAGCAGCTGTAGTCCGCCTTCAGAATCTCTATTTACCAAATGCCCCATTACAGTTCTTCTCCCTTTTCTTGTTCGACCAGTTTCTCGAAGTACGCGAATACGCAAAGAGATCTTAATATCAATTCCAAACATCTTTCATCTTTCACCCCATTCTCAAAAACGCAATGTCTTTGATAAATCTTGCTTTCTTCGGTGCAACGGGCGGCTGTGCCAATGCCTGTTTAACTTATGCTCTGAAGAACAGATACAAAGCCAGCGCCCTTGCTCGAACCCCGTCAAGACTGCAAACCCTTCTCCTCTCTCAAGGGCTCGACCAAGCAACCATTGATGCCAACTTAACAATCATCCAAGGCGACGCAGGAGACGTCGAAGCTATCAAACGCACTCTCTCCCCAGAGAGTAACAATGGCAAGGTTGTCTCAACGATAATAAGCGGGCTGGGTGCAACTCCCAAATTCCAAGCCTCACTCACAAAACCCCTTACAATCGACCAGCCAAACATCTGCGAATCAGCAACAAAATCCATTCTATCCGCCCTAGAAGCCCTCCAGCCATCCACGGCAACTGAGCAGCAGCCAAAGCCCATTTTAGTGATCGTCTCTTCCACGGGCATTTCGTCCGGGCCAAATGATGTGGCCTTCATGCTCCGCCCACTCTACCACCTCCTCGCTGTTCCACACGAGGACAAGAAGAAGATGGAACAACTCGCCTTTGGAGGGCCCGATTCGCCCTCCGGACGACTTCTGAGAGGTGCTGTTTCCGTGCGCCCGACCCTGTTGGGTGGTGATCATTCCATCAGCAGTGGGAAGGGGTGGAAGACTCTGAAGGTCGGGACGGAAAAGGAGCCTGCTGTTGGACTTGGGATTCAGCGGGCAGATGTCGGGGAATGGATTTTTGAAGAAATTATTAAAGGGGGTGGGGAGAAGTGGTTGAATGAGAAGGTGACATTGACGAGTTAAGCATGTTTTAACTCTGCTTCTTTTATTTCGGCGTCTGTGCATTTGTTTTTATGACTTTATGGATTCTTAAGTACGACCCCTCAATTATTTGTCTTTTATCTTCTTTTGTTACAAATTGCATATGGCACATAATACCTGCCTGCTTGACTTTGTTTTCTATGTTTCACATGATACCTATGTTTCCCCTCTGCATGTTTATATTTTCCTAGTTTGTGTTTACTCTATGTTTTCTTGTTATTGGGGAAAACCCGTGGGGAATTGCACCCACTAGCTATCAGAAATAATGAAAATAACGAACTCTCCTGTGGTATCTTCTTCTTTACCGATTTTCCGCATTATTCTTGTTATTTGGATCCTTTCTCTTGGGTAGAGCTCTTCCGTCCCACCTCCGGGCCGAACCCTATAACTAACTAGTTCTCTTCGATCCACCCCTGTCATAACTCCTAATTGACACCTCAAACCCCCCAAGTTCTGCCAGAAGAGTTTATAAGTATCGACTAAGAATAGCATAAACGGATGTTGAATGCATATCAACGTTCCCTCCAAGTCCATTTATAGCCGCTTCCCCAGATTTCAAGTGGTGACCTCTTAGCCATTCTATCAGAAACAATATTTTCCAAGCTCTAGCATTAAAAATTCAAAAAGGTAGAAAATTTATAACTCATCCAGAGTATGGAAAAACAAGGAAGCCCTATTCACATATTGAGAGATGACGTCGAACGCTCTATTGTGTATGCCTTCATCGGAGTAGAAATATGTGAAAATACAAAGGTGCTCATCTACCTTGACAAGACAATAAGTATATAGAGTGGAGGGCAAACCAGAAGCGGTTGCCACAGGAGCAGATAGGCTGAATTCATAACCCCTTTCCACTTATTTATCGTTCGTCTGTACATGAACGCTCCCTAACACGCCTGGTTTCTTGAGCAGATGGTCATGTGTGTGGATAAAAAAGGGACGCCGTAATATAAAGTATCCAGCAGGTGAAAAAAAGCATAATGCCGATAAGGATAATGAATGGAAGTAGTCACCATCCAGCCCGCGGCTGGACAAAGTGTGACCTTCCATGGGAGCTCTTATCCTTCAGCTGGTATCTGTATCAGGTCGAAAGGTTGGTGAATTGAAGTGAAAATGAAAAAAAAAACACAAAATACAGGAACAGGCGGAGTTATTAAAGACATTTAAGGAAACAGGTAACGTTCTGCACCACCGGAGTTTAGAAATTGACAACACGACCAGCTCTACAACATGTCCACTCATAAAATATATAGCGACCTCTAAAAGTAACAAGCAAAAAGAAAACGAAAAAGATTGGGGAATATAAATGCGTACGGGATGGAGAAAAAAAATAGGCAAAAATGTTAATGCGGAGTCTAGTTGGGATATCATCCCTCGTACAACAAATAGAAAAACACAAGAATAGAAACAATTGCAACGCCAAATAGATATAATAATGATAACCATCACACGTGCGCGGGGGTGAAAAGAAGTTTTAAAAAATCAAGGACGCCATCAACGCCAGCTGTTCATTTAGAAAGCATGATAAAAGGAGGATGAAAGTTCCAAAAAATAGCTTCCTATGGGAGTTTTTTAACGTGACCGTCCACTTTTGGGGGTTCGTCATCACCAAAACCCGAACCCTCGAGTGCTTGGTTTAGATTTCGAAGCGAAAACCCGCTGTTGCTGAGATGTACGCCAACTAGCCACGCAGTGACTATATTCGCAATATGGTGGAGGAGATACGCATATGTCACGCCGTAAAGCGCCGCATATGCGGCGAAGATAAGGAATAGGATGGATGTGATAAGTCGCAGTCTATAAGGGAAAGACAATGTTGAGTTTAGCGTTGAGAAAAGCTTTGAATGAGAGAGCACACCAATGCCCAGGGGCACAATCTAAGAAAAACGTACCTTGACGTTATTCTCGGTATCATATTCCCATTTGTAAGGGTCTCCACAAGAAGCATAAATGGCATTATAGATAAGACATTATGATGAGAAGGGAATGGCGTCCACCAGTGGACAGAAAGGTTATGAACCCAAACTGCGAACACGAGGACATGAACAGGAAGTATCCACAACATGAGAATGAAGATTGAATGGACATAATTATAGAAACTATAATGCGAGGTCGATTTCTGCTCTCATTTATCAAAATCAGCTAATCACGAGCTGCAGATGTAAAAGGCACACGAGATTAATTCATGACTTACCGTCTCATTTGCAAACTGGTATGTCTGTATGCAGGTCGCTAGCTGTACAATGCACGCTACTATATACGCGAACTGATATGGAATAATTGTTGCAACGAAACATAATAAAACGGCGGTGTTAATAAT